GGACCCGAGTCAGAAACAACTTAAAAAGAGAAGACTCCAGAGCAGAACGGGTGGGTGTGGAGATTAAGCGGCAGCGGCTTAATTTATGTTTTTACCCTCTAACTCTGGAAGTTAAATGGCAGCTTGAGAAAAGAGTGATTAAAGGAGAAAAAAAGGGGGACTAGACGAGAAGAAGAGGTGTGAAGAAGCTTTTTATTCAGGAAAACTGCCTTTTGAAACTGAGATTGATTGTGAATTCCGATGATGGAAGAACTGGAATGATGTCTACAGTTTCCATTTAAATCAAATCACCAAAAATAATTCTAAACAGCCACCAATCGGGGAGAACAAAGGAGACTCACGGAGAATTGATAGTCTCCATATAAATCACCAAGCTCCATTTTAAACAACCCAGCTGATTAGTCAGCCTGAATTTAAATTCCCACTCAACTGATTGGACAACCTCCACTAAACCCCCACCCAAATCTCATCCTTTCCAAACTCCAAAGTAGATGATTAGTGAGCTCATTCAAATCTTCTCCATTCAAATCTATCAAACAGCAACGCTTCCTCTTTAAAACAAAAACAAAACAAAAACCCCAAAATGTGGCTTTAAGGAAAAACAAAGGAACTTTACACCACAAACCTCCAATACTATACTACCTCCACTATTTCAGTACCTCAAGACCAAATATTTATAGATAATGCTTTGTCTATAATAATTGATTTATCATATAATAGTATAATAATTAATTGTTAAATAACCACTAATTTACAGATTCATTGAACTGATAGAGATTTAATACTGTATCATTGATTATCTAGTCTATTGATTGATTGATTGATTCTTAGTAATAAGTTGATTGATTGATTTTTAGTAATAAGTAACCTTACTTTTGATTTGTTCTCTAACTTATCAATTAACATTTATTAATTGCCAACATTCATTAAGTAACTGTCTACCTATCACATTAATTAGCTATTGTAATTGTTTAGTGTACTATTGTCATTGACCATGCCAGCCAGAAACGTCAGAAACTCCAAATCCTCCACTACCAAACAACAACAGCAACAAAAAATAATATCTCTACCAATGACCTCCCAGACTCCTGTACATGCTTCAGATGTCTTAAAACCATCAATGAAAGTGAAAATAACATCAAGTGCTACCTAGGTGACAATCAAGCGCACCTTGCCTGCTTAAACTTAAACAACGACCTAGTTGATCTCCTAAAAGCGTCAGATACTTTCCCTTGTCCATCATGTTTTCCTAAGCTAAACAAACCAAGTACCCTGCCTGACAGTTGATAGCACAGAATCACTCATGCACTCAATAGAAAAACGCTTAGCAACACATTTTGAAACAATTATACAAAAAGCCAAATTTCTCTTGAAAAAAAAATACAGCACTGATAAGCAACTACCTATCAGCCCAAAATCAAATCCCAACCCAACAACCACTACCACAACTACAATCACTACTACGACCAAAAATAACCACCAAACCACAACCACAAATAATTACTATCCCATCAAATAATTCCACAAATGATATCTCCTTACTCATCAGAGACACCATGGAACGTGATCAGAAACGTCCAAATGCCATCTTATTTGGTCTTGAAGACACCAACAAATCAGACGACATCACCAAAGTTCATAATATCATAAGCAACTCAAATACAACAAACATCTCTCCTGAAGATATCATTGAAGTAACCAGAGATGGCCCTGAGTCAAAATACAATGATGGCTCGGTGGCCTCAAAATTTTGTAGAGTTGTTTGCAAAAATGAGTCCAGCAAACACATATTTATTCATACAACAAATGCCATTGCAAAAACCAATCCCAACCACAAAAATCTTCGCTCAAGACCAGACTTATCCATACTGCAAAGAATCCACTCCCGTGAACTCCGCAGGGAACGCAAAAGATGTCTAGACAATGGAGAGAAGGATCTCTACATTGACTACCATGCTGATTGTATCAAAAGTAAGTCACACAACCCACAGCTCCACATCCAACCCTACCTCATCCAACCCACCATCACTCAAAACTAGGCACGCATGCCCCTAACTACCTCAATTCCAACTACAACTGCCTTAAATGCAAGCTACTCAGTGCAAGAAACCTTGTGAATAAAATACCTGAATTTCTCCTCTTATTAAATATGGCTAAATTCGACATCATATTTGTCTGTGATATATGGCTCAATGCATCTCTCCCTGACTCCATTACCACAGTAAGAGGCTTTCATGTTTACCAATTAGATCGTGAAATCCGTAGAGGAGGTGGTGTTGCTATCTTCTATAAAATGTCCTTACATCTAAAAAACATCAAAATTACCCAAGAGCTTGCTCTTCCTGAGACCATCGTCTGTGAACTGTCCTTAAATATCACATTTCGATTCTTACTATGTTACAGAGCCCCTAATTATGACATCGAACATGTAAACAAGCTAAATTCACTACTAACATGGGCAACATCCTGCCCACATGCTTTTATCTTTCTTGGTGACTTCAATCTACCTCACATTAACTGGACCCTAAATGAATGTAAAACTGAACCCATACATGCAACCTTCTACAATGCTGTAACAAACCTGGGACTGGAACAACTAGTAACCAACAATACTAGACTTAATAACTGCCTCAATCTCATCTTCTGCAATAGTTTGAACTCAATTTATGGAATACAAATTAAAGAATCCTTTTCCAACAGTGACCACAACATGATTGACTTTTGTCTCAACATACGTCCACACAAAAATCAACACAACAATGGGATCTCCAATTATAACTTCAAAAAAGGCAACTATGATCTTATAGACAACGATCTCACATCCCTTGATTGGCAATTTCTATTCTCTGGATGCAATACTGTTGAAGACCATTACAACATATTTTTACTTGAAGTCAAAAGAGTCATCAAACTATATGTACCAATAACAACTCCAAAAACCAGAAAAAACAGATTACCCATAACAATAAGGAAGCTTCAATCCAAAAAGAAATCACTTTGGAGGAAAAACAAATCTGGTCACATTGCCAACTTCAAAAGCCAATACAAAAATTTATGCCACCAGATAAAGACTAAATGCACCAATTATCACATTAAACAAGAGGAAAAACTTCTACGCACCAATTCCACCCGTGCTTTCTACAATTTTGTAAACAACAAACTAAAAGACTCAAGGTCCATCCCACCCCTGAAAGGACCTAATGGTAAAGACTACAACGACGACACTATTAAAGCCAACCTCTTTAACACTTTCTTTGGCTAAGTATTTGTAAAGAGCAATGGATCATGCCCAGTATTTCCTAGTCGAACCACAGACAACTACAATGATCTAATACATATCGATTTTACAGTAGACAATGTTGAAAAAGCACTATGCAATCTAAAACCATCTCTATCTATTGGACCAGACAGAATATGTGCCTACTTCTTTAAAAAGCTATCCATTGCCATAGCCGAACCTCTAAGCATAATCTTGTGAAAAATCTTTCAGGATCAGCTCCTTGCCAAAACTATGGTCATAAGCCACAGTCATCCCCATCTTTCAGCCTAGTTGAAAATTACAGACCAATCTGCGTCACCTGTAAAATCATGGAATCAATTATTAACCAATCCATTATCCTCCACTTAGAGACAAACAACCTACTCTCTAATAAACAATTTGGTTTCAGAAAAAAACTATCCTGCAATCTGCAACTCTTACACTGCAAAAACGTATGGACTACAAAACTCGATCAGGGCAAAGCAATAGATGCAATCTACATAGACTTCTGTAAAGCCTTTGATTCAGTGGTACATGACAAACTACTCCTAAAACTAAAATCTTATGGTATCTCTGGACACCTGCATAACTGGATAGAAGTATTCCTGTCAAACAGACAACAGATGGTCAAAATTGGGAGCGTCCTATCAAAATCTGTACCTGTCCCCCAAAGCAGTGTTCTAGGACCAACTCTCTTCATACTCTACATAAATGATCTCTGTGATCATATTAAGAGCAACTGTGTTCTCTTCGCTGATGTTGTAAAGCTATTCAACACCACAGACAATACTGCTACCCTTCAAAAAGACCTTGACTATGTATCAGAATGGTCAAACTAATGGCAACTTCAAATCTCAACAAACAAATGCTCTGTCTTACATATTGGCAACAAAAATCAGAAAATAAAATACAAGCTTAATAGTCAACACCTTGTTGATGATCCAAACTCTGTCAAGGATCTTGGAGTACTCACCTCTAATGATCTAAGTGCTAGAGCCCACTGTAACTACATAGCCAAAAAGGCGTTAAGAGTTGTTAACCTAATCTTACGTAACTTTTTCTCTGATAATATTACACTACTAACTAGAGCATACAAAACATTTGCTAGACCAATACTCGAATACAGCTCATCAGTCTGGAACCCACATTACATACCTGATATTAACACAGTTGAGAAAGTCCAGAAATAGTTCACAAGAAGAGTTTTCCACTCCACTACTCATTGCACAATACCTTATGCCACTAGACTTGAAATTCTAGACCTAGAAAACCTAGAACTACGCCTCCTTCGGTCTAAGTATGGTATATAAAATCATACATTGCAATGTCCTACCTGTCAATGAATACATCAGCTTCAACCATAACAACACAAGAGCAAACAATAGATACAAACTCAAAGTTAATCACACCAAACTTGATTGCAGGAAATACGACTTCAGTAACAGAGTGATCAATGTCTGGAATACTCTACCTGACTCTGTGGTTTCTTCCCCAAACCCCAAAAACTTTAACCTTAGACTTTCTACTATTGACCTCACCCCTTTCCTAAGAGGTCTGTAGGGGGCGTGCATAAGCTCACCAACGTGCCTACCGTCCCTGTCCCATTGTTTCTTTTATTTTTCTTATATGTATCCATGTATTCATAAATATGTTTTTACTTATACGTATTATCTTGTAAGCAATTGACAAACCAAATAAAATAATAAAATAAAATAAATAAAATACTCACACATTTTTACAGATAATGACTGTGGTGATGGGACTGATGAACTGGACTGTCTTCATTCATGTTTTGACAACCAGTTCAGGTGCTCTACTGGCCGATGCATTCCAAGTCACTGGACTTGTGATGGAGACAATGACTGTGGAGACTTCAGTGATGAAACTAAACCAAATTGCACCAAAGGTCAGTGTTTTATATTTCCTTCCCAACTTCCAGTAAAATGCTTACCTTTATCAAATGAAATAATAGTCAGGATCATGATTTTAGCTGAGTAAGGTGATTAATATAAGATTTTATTCCTATTGAATTATGGCAATTGTATAAAATATGTATATAGCAATAAATGGTGTAGGTAGGTATATGTATCTTTGTGTGTGCAGGTGTCTTTGTGTCTGGGTCTGGGTCTCTGTCTGTGCATGTGGCATACATATATAAAACACATCAGGGAATATCTTTTAAGAAATAACTTTTGACCATAGTAAAAAATTTTTTTTGCTCTTTTGTTGTAATGTAAAGTGCATGAGCAATACAGTAAAAGCAGCTGGTTTTGGGCAATGATAAAAGGGAAGCATGGTGGTAGCTTTTTGGTTTAAAATTAGATATTGTATTTTACTGTCTGGGAGAGGGAAAATATTTTTGTACTATGCATTAAGATGCAGGGAATGCAGATAAATCATTTGAGCCAGTCCTGATTTTATTATGACTTTGCTTTAGTTCACTAAAGCAATATAGCAGTGCAAAGTTTCAAAGATGTTGTTTGTAGTTTGAACATTTATTATTGAATAAGAAGCAGAGGAAAACAATATTATATTAAAAATTATGCTACAGTATTTTAAATATTGCTGACAAAGGGCAAAAACAATATGCTGCAGTCTTAGAGGCAAGGTGAAGAATTCAGTTCATATCAGTACACTAAAATATAGTTCCTTTCAGTCTGCTTGAATGGGACGTACATATTCAGGGATAGCCTAGGACTAGGTAATAGAACGAGTTATCAGTCTATAAAAAAACAATAGACTGCATATTTTATATAGCAGTCACTGTACTGATGATGATTCCAACTAGTATTTGCTACAGAGTCTTTATTTGCTATAATTTGTTCAAGGAAATGTTGAATTATGAAAAAGAGTGAAACATTGGATTTTTTTTTTATCATACTTTTCTTGCCAGATAAGTTATCAGATATATTTCAACAATGGTCTCAGCATTCTGAAATCTGAAAAATGAGCATTTTGTCCTGCTTAATACTTTTCAACACTTTTATTGAAAAATAATATATATATGATTCATAGGAATAAGTGCAACCTCTGAAAAAACTCAGAAGTCTCTTCCTCTTCTTGCAGTCAGTAGTATTTGACGACTTTTGTTAATTTTTTGAATGGCATTGTTTACATTGAAAGGAACCTCAAAATGTTTTCAGTAACTTGTAATACTTACATATGTACAAAATATTAATAAGAGAGAGAAAGTATACATTGCAGTTTCTAAAATTCATCCCACCAGTGCCCATATAGGAGGCATCTGTATTTTTCTGTGTTACAGAGCAACATGTTCTCCTTGTGAACTAATTCTGTTTCTCTTTCTCTCTCCCTCTTCCTTTCCATCACCTTTTCTCTTGGACAGAGAGAGAAAGCGAGGAAGAAAGAGAGAGAAAGAAAGAGAGAAGGGGGAGAGACAGAGAGAGCGAGAGCGAGAGAGCAGGGAGGGAGGGAGGAAGGGTCTAATCAGGGTAGGTTTTCTTCTGTATGGGCTTGGTACGGGCTGTTCTCCCTTTAAATATTTTTGGGGATATGTAACTGCTCTGAGAAATGTGGGATAGATAGATTTTCATATTGTTTATTCAGATTCACATTCCAGGGGAGGATTAATGCAAAAGTTGGCCCTATTCCAAGCTGTTTACTAACAGCCGTTCACCCACTTGGGGTGAATTAAAGGATTTTTACTGGATTCTTTGTTCTAACTGGATTCAGTTCTTTTTTAAATCTGCAGGTTCTTCTACAGTACTGCACCAACTTATTTTTGTTTTGATTGTTTCCTATGCTCACACAAACAGAGATTTCCAAATCCATTCTGTAATTTCCAATAATCAATTGCTTTAGAAAAAAAATACAATTTTGTGCTTTCTTGCTAGGAAGTACTGTAAGCCTTATTATTTTCAGTTCCATTTACACTCTAGTACGCATAAATAGATTTCAGCAATTATTTTGCTTTTTCAGTTCAGAAATGTAACAGTCACTGCACAATGCAATGCAATCCTAATTTAGTAGATTCTGTTTCATTGAGGCTAATATGTAACTGCAACAATTTCCAATAGTTGAAAGTTTTCAAAAATGAAAATCCTTTAATTGAAATGAAACCACTTTTTCTATTATTGTAGTGTAGAGCCAGAGATATTTTCCCATTGTGTTTTATGTAGGAAAAAACTCCATGTAGGCTTAAAATATAACACATTTTTGCATTGTAGCTTTCTCTCATAGTGATATTTTTAATATCAATTGAATGTCTCTTTAGATATTATTAAAAACAACATAAATTGTGCATCAATAGGTATTTATCCACAGACTATATTTTTACATGATGTTAAACTGCCACACACATCTTATTTGGAACAGTTTTACAACTCTTAAAAATGTTTTAATAAATACTTTCATACAATTCAACACACTCTATAATTCGGGTGAACTGGTAGTTCCGAGGATCATCTGTGAGTGAACCGGTTCGCTCCAACAATCAGCTATTGGGCCTACCCACCTGCCCCGGCATTATTCTGACCTTTATTTCCTGGTTTTCAAGCTCAGTTGCTTCGCGTGGCACAGAGGATTGCCATGCGTCAGCTGTTTAACACACAGAGAGATCGCAGGATTGCAGGAGAAGGTCAGTAGCAAACCTTCTGTGCGCGTGCAAAACATGCGCTCAACGAACCGGTTGTTTCCCCGGTTGAATTACACCCCTGTCTATAATGTTAGATACCTAGGAGAGAATTATTTACATCTCTTTTTTTCATTTTAAATGGAAATGTACCATATGCGTAAAAGAGAGAAATGAATAATATTTCGAGCTTTGGACCACATCAGGATTGGATGGATGATCCTCCAAATGTTATTGAATGAAAATTCCTTAAAAGAGGTATTACTTAAGTTCTACATTTATTAATGACAGATTATATGTGTGATCACCTATTGTTCTTGTCTGGAAAGTTTCCCAAAAATTGGTGTACTCACTGGTTCTTTGATCTTTGCAACAATTGTTGGTTCTGCTTTTGTGGACACAATTTCAATTTGCAATGAAAATAAATGTATCTTTACAATGGATTTTCACATTTATGACTGTCAAATTCTAAGTCCGCTTCAGCATTTTTAAAATCTTTTCTACAAACTCTGAGAATGGAAATTGAACACATTTACAATTTGACGTTGGATCAATATATATCACTATATCTGTGGTCTTGTCTTGCTGCTCTTATCAGGAAAGTTATTTTATTATTTTTTCTTTCTTTTACATAGGCTAAGGTTCTGTCTCTCATTATTTGTGATTTTGTCATTGGGGAAAAAATCAAATTATTCTACACTTATTGCATAGAAATGTTCTCATTCTGTGAATGTCTCTTTGGCCAAAGAACAATTCATATGTTAGTTCAGATGGTTAAAATGGATATCACCACAGTATCTTTTCAATAGTTCCAATTATATTTCTTCAATGAAATTCACACTGGTGCAAAACTATGAACAATATATAAAATAAACTTATCCATTATAATGGAGATGTATATACTTTTCTCCAACATAATCCTTATGTAACCTGAGGTATTCATTGGCTCTGCTCAAATGATTGAATTGAATAGAGATATATGTAATTAATAATCAGAAGGCTGCTTAAAATGAAAGTGACAATTTTAATAATCTATTTTGTAGAAATATAATAACCACACTTACATCTTTGTATATTACTGTGTAATTGAGTCCATATTGTAAAAATATGGTTATGAGTTAGAATAGTATGATTCTTGTTTTCTCTATACAAAATGTGGCTCTTTACAAGAAGAATATGATACCCTGTACCGCTTCCTTGACTGTATCCAAGTAGTAATTGAAAAATATTTGAAATGATATGAATTATCAAAAAATATTGTTAACTGATACTGTATTATCATATTTTTTTAATGTTAGAGATAGCTTCTCTTGGGAGATGCAGTGGGAAAGCATTTCAATGTTACCCAGATGGAAACTGCATTCCTGAGCTTTGGCGCTGTGATGGAGAAAAGGACTGTGAAGATGGTAGTGATGAAAAGACTTGTAATGGAACTATACGACCATGTGATGCCAAAACAAAGTTTTCCTGCAAGGCTACAGGTATGAAAGGGTAACAATTTTAACTAGTTTTAACTAGTATTTTATTGTTAGCATTGTAGCACTATTTTTCTCATTTAGCTTTAAAACAGCCTTGTTATAGTTGAAATAGTATTTTCTTTCTTTTTTCTTTTTTGCTTATGGAAAGAATTAAGCTATAGCTGAGGGTTGTCAAACTCGCGTAGTCATAGTGTCATCATGTGATGTATTGTGACTTTTTCCCTTTGCTAAACTAGGCATGGCTGTGACCAACGCAAAATGCATCTGGCACATGGGCTGCGAGTTTGACAGTCCTTCTATAGCCCAAAGTTTATAAATTAGGGTTGTTTAGAAAACATTGTTCAGAATCTCCCTATCTTACCAACATTCTTTGCCTAACCACAGGAAAACTCTTGCTTTACCTTGATCATATGTGTTACAGTATTTCCATCAGCTTTTTCAGTCTCTGTCCCATCTGCTGAAAGAAGTTGTATCAAAAGTTCATGTCTTTCTTCACTGAGTCTTTTATTTGGCCCAGGCCTTAATTATACTTATATTAACTAACTGCCATGGATTTTTTTTTTTTTTTTTTTAAAAAACACACTTTATCCTGCTCCTTTTACTTGTTTAGTCAATAGGTAATTTCTAGAGAGTTGCAAAATTCTGCTAATTGCCATTGCAAAGGAATATAAATGCCATCACAGCTTTAATTTTATACATTAAGCTTAACATTCTATAACAATGTATGTTATGTGATTATTTTCATAAAGAAACCCATTAATTAAAACTAATCTCTGGAAATAGATTATGTTATATTGAGACATTAGGAACCATGCTTGGACTGTATTGAGAAATGTCAATAGCAAAATAAATTTCTAGATCAATTGGTCATTATAAAGTGAAAATAATATTTATATAATTGGGTTTATTTTCATTATGTTGGGGACATTGTGAATCCCAACAGCTTGGTAACCAGTAACTGAAGTGCTATCCTGATTCATCTTGGATATATCCTGTTAGAAAAATGAATGTAATAAATGCATTTAATGAATGGAAAATTGATTATATCAGCACATATACCTCCATATTAATTGTTCAATTTTTATAGCTATAAATAAAATTTAATACTCTATTCCTTAATAAATACTTTTTCATAGTGTTTGCCAAACCTGTAATAAATTAATGTAGATGTTGATCATGAAGATTCTCCATATGTAGCTACAAAATAAAATATAGAATGATATAGCTAGCACACTAACCATTAATTAACATTTGGCATGAAAACTTGATCAAAGCTTTGTCTGAGGATTTACTTGTTGGAAAACAGACTTTTTTATGGACTTTAAGGTCCTACTAACAAGCAAGTATCACATTTCTGACATATTAAACAGGAAAAAAAAGTTTTAAGAGCAGTCATATTCCTTTCTTTCCAACCTCAGTAACATGATTAGAAACAAACCACTTAACACACTTTTACCAATATTGCACAGTGCTTTGATGATACCTGTACAAAGTTGGTAGTCATTAATACATTAAAAGAAATATACATACCAGCTTTTATCTATATTGCTCTTAATTTAGTACTTAGCATGAAGAAAAGAAAAAAAAAACCTCAGGTACCTAGTCCTAGAGAACAAATTGGACATATCTTGTAGAAATTGAATAAGAACATTCTGAAACAAGGCTCTGAGAAAGTTAGTGTATATCAGTAATTGGCCATTTGGCAACTGCTTTCTTTTCTTTCACTAGCTCCTTCTAGAAACAAAAATCAGTAATACACATCTTTAAACTAGAATCTCATTATTAGATCAAATGCAATATACCTCAATTAACTGGGTTCCCTATTAATTGAACCAATGTAATTGGGTTGAAAATAGTTACACTTATTGCATTTGTTAATTCAGATGGAAAATATTTTTCTTCTTTTTTTAATAAGCATTTATCAAAGTCTATAAATTTCCTCATAAAATGGCTTGAAATATATTTATTAAAAAGAAGAAGAAATAAAAATCCTTAGTTATCTTGTCATATAAGGCATACACAATGAAAGAAATAATATTATTTTATATATTTTTAAATTAAATTAGAAGTACTAATTTTATTTGTTATTTTCCCCAAGAAAAAAGAGTTTTCCATACCCAGAATAAAAATCTCACAAACCTTTCAGAAGATTCCCATTTGAAATGGCTTTTATTTACAGTTCCATATAGCTGTTTCCAATTTATGCATCTTTTATCTGAAATAAAAGATTGGGAATTGCTAACATTGCTTCATTTTTATAAAAGATCAGTGGTGAGTTTTGGATAGAGATTAAAATAAATATATAAGCCATCACTTGAAGTTATTTTTCTATAAAATAGTGGCATTACAAATAAAATATGAATGAATAATTAGCCTTGTTAAGAAAAGGAATCAATTTGTTTATTTTCTCTTTTCTTTAAGGGAGATGTATTAGCAAATCTTGGCTGTGTGATGGAGACATTGATTGTGAGGATCAGTCTGATGAAGATAATTGTGAAGGCTATATGTGTGGGCCACCAAAATATCCATGTGCTAATGACACTTCCATCTGTCTACAGCCTGAAAAGCTTTGCAATGGAATAAGAGATTGCCCTGATGGATCTGATGAAGATGATCTTTGTGGTAATTATACTTGATCAAATGCAGATGTATGAAAAAATTAAATAATGGTCCCTAGATAATGTATCCAGACTCTCTCATCCCAGCCACACCCCTTATGTAAATTTTAATGTTTGATAATTGAACTGTTTTCATCAAACCCTTATATGGTTGAAATTAATACCAAGCTGAAATATTGTTCTTCTTTCATTTTGCCCATTTTTTAAATAAAGCAAATTCAAAGGAGAAAAATTCTCAATGTTTATATACAAAATTTTGAATAGAATTCAAAGAATTCTAAAGGCACTTTATGTTTCAGGTGGCTATCAGATTTCATTTCTCCTCTCCTCCCTTCCCTTCCCTCTTCCCTCCCCTTTCCTGTAACAATGCAGTTGTAATTTATCTGGAATTCACTGAAAATTTATAAAATTAATTGTTTTAAACTACATAATTTTCCTCTTTCCTACATTGGATGTTGAGACAGGTTCATGCTCTAACTATAATGCATTCCCAGACTCTTTTTTCCATACAAATGAAAAGCATAAAGTGAACACAAAATAAACAAAGCATGTCAGGGCAGCAGGTATTAGTCCTCTACTGACACATGCAGAAGATTGTTATATGTATGCAAAGACCATCATGGTCTACATTTTATGCAATATATTATTTACTTATCCCTAATAAATTTAATTTTTGTTATTCCAGCTTCTGAAACAACCCAGCTTGCCTTTTATTACCCTATTTTTAAACCTACAGACTATATTATTTATATATGTGAACTGAATGCCAAAGAATCTATGGTTCTGAATACACCTTTTATTCTGCAGTCTATTGGATCTAATCTTATAAAATATATCTACGGTGATAGATTAAATTTTCATTTATGTCTCAAAAACACATTTCACCTGTTTTTATTTAAATAATAATAATAAGTACTATTCTTATTTCAGAAGAATGTTCACTTAACAACGGTGGATGCAGCCACCGATGTTCAGTAGTTCCTGGAGGTAGAATTGTCTGTTCATGCCCCCCAGGATTGTACTTAAATTCAGACAATAAGACCTGTGACTATGTAGATTATTGCACCAAACATCAGAAATGCAGCCAAGTATGTGAACAGCATAAAAATGTTGTTAAGTGCTCCTGTTATGAAGGTTGGGAACTTGGTAAAGATGGTGAAAGCTGTGCTAATATTGGTAAGTTGACATTTGGTTATCTATTCACTATTACTAAGTATGTCTTACAAAAATTTCATGTGTCAAAATGACCCATTTGCTTTAGACAAACAGGAGTCCTTTAACTCTTCTAATACAGATGCTTCACAATTTGTTTCTATTTAGAAGACTTAAATGTTTTATATGCAACGTAGAACTTGATGATACTTGATGAACTTCTGTTTTATGAAAATATTTATGTTCTTTTCGTTTCTTTTAATAAAAAAAATTAATCTATATCATCACATGTTCATCAGAAGATAAATGCCATTGAATGACAAATTTAGAAAATATTTTTCTAAAACTTGAATTAAAAATATAGTGGTCTAAGTATGAAAGTGTTTGTAGAAGCCAAATACAGAAAACAGGCGACAACAAATTAATACCATTCTCTGAAAGTGCATTTGTTATAACAACTTTTTTGATAACAATTATTAAATGCTCTTGATTCAATCTCACTGATCAGAGGCAGTATTTGAATATTTGGCTTTCTACTTATTGGTAGGTATATGTAAAATGCAATTTCATTTTTCCATTCCACCAATAATGAAGAACTTTGTGATTCAAAAATTATATATACATTTTAGAGGATGGTTATAGAGGATGGTTACACATTAAATATCTTCTTTATTCTTTCAATGGTGGGGGAATCACTGTTTTTGAGTTTTAACTGTGTAAATTTGAATTGTGCTAAATTTGTAGCACATTAAGAAGGAGCAAGGAAGGAAGGAAGATGCTCACAGCCATACCTACTCAGTCACATACTTTTACATCATACAAAATTTTATATTATACATGTAGTTCATATGCTAAATGTAATTCATATGCTAAAAATACTTTTTCTTTTCTTTTTCACATTTATTAGAAATATTGTCAAATTTATATTTTTAGGTTTCTAAACAAGCCCATAAGCCATCTTCATCTTCATGGAGCATTTGCCTTATAAAAGAAATAGAGATAAAACAATAACAGGTTAAAGAAAGGGTTGAAATTGGTCAGTGCCTCCAAGAACTATAGAATATTAAAGACATTTGTTAAGAAAAATAATGGGAAACTGGGAAGTAAAAGCTTTCTATTTTCTTATACATGATTAGGAAGAGAACACATATATACTATAAAGTTAAATTTAAAAAACCTTTTGCACATGTCATAGAAATATATTTTGGAATAAAAAGTTATTATATTCCAATTATCAATAATTCTTCCCAACTCCTATGAACACACTGCAGTATATAGAGAAAGCAAGCAAGAAACATCAGTAAATTTCTCTGGCTTGGTCCTGGCAGTCAATTCTGATGAGTATAATGTAATAGTTAAAGTACTGGCCTAGAATTGTGGGACTCAAGTTCAAAATCATCCTTAGCCCGGAAACTCCTTCTCGTGGTCTGTTAAAAGTGCAGTCATCCAGTCCTTGACAGAAAATATGCTAGCATAATTTGCCTTGCCAATGAATCATGAGTCCAGAAAGAGCTCCAGCTTGTAAAAAGGGACTGTTTGAGGCAGTGCCACCTTATGGTGGCACTGCCTCAAACAGTGGTGGTACATTCTCAGTGGTGGTACATTCTCAGATCCCGAAGGCCCCCAAATTCCATAGATCCCTGAAGACTATCATAGTGGCCATGACCTTCTGACTATCCCCAAACTCCATTTCTAAGGAAAGTGTGTTGAAATCTCCTGGGTGTAGGTTAATCAGCCTAAGGATCTCCACCAACCTAGAAATGGAGTCAAGGAGCTCAGGCAGAAAGATTACTGTGCAGAAGGGAGACTGTTGCGATAGCAACAATTCCAACTGATCTCCAGAGCCCAATGTAATGAACAGGTTCTCATATCCAGTAACTCAAATTATCCTCTAAAGAGCAGCATCATTAGAGTTTCTCAGATGAAGATTGTCACTTCTGCATCCTTGCCCTGTGTTCTGGGCTGATGCTACACCCAAAACCTGGCTGGGCACCATTCCAAGAAGTGACTACCCCTTCCAGGTGCATGGGGTTTAGGTAATACATGTCAATTCAGCCTTCTCATTTGTTATTAAAGGCTGACCTGGCCTTTAGCAGCAACAACTAGAAACCTAGGCATCTGAGATTCTGTGACCAAGAAATGGGATTTACCACAGGGGCAGGAATGCAGAACTAGAAGGCGGCACTGGAATTGAATTCAAGAAGAGCCCTCCCCCATCATATGTCCCCATACCTCTCAAGGTCAGAGGAGAATAATCTGAATATATTTAGCTATTACCAAATGAAAGGATTGAAAGCAGGCCATCCAAAAGAGAGGACTGTCCAATAAAATAAAACACACAATAATTAAATATTGAACTATATGTATATCTTATTTTGATAGCCAAAATTTATTGGAATTCTTTCATAATGGCTTCTTAACTTTCCTAAAATAAAATTCCATATTGAAAGTTCCTGGATTTTTGTATCCCTGTTTAATAGATTCCAATCTAATCTGCTTGGGAAAAGTCTGATGTTTGTTTTCTTAAAAGAGGTTATTCTCTCCCTATTCTACAATCAGAATATTCTACAAATATTAATGAGATGAATGTCTTTTTATTACATTCACTGTAATAACCTACTACTGACTAGGTTTCACCATAAAATGTACTGTTCTGTTTCCAGATCCTTTTGAAGCATTCATCATTTTTTCTATTCGGCATGAGATCAGAAAGATTGATCTGCAGAAACGAGACTACAGTCTATTAGTTCCTGGTTTAAGAAATACAATAGCACTTGATTTTCACTTCAATCAAAGCTTACTATACTGGACAGATGTAGTAGAAGATAAAATTTACAGAGGCAAGCTTTCTGAAACTGGAGGTATGAAATGGAGCTTAGATTTTATTTTATTTCTTAAATTAAGTGGTACAGGACTCAGTTTAGGAAATATAATGAATGAGTTATAATTGGAAGTTTTTTTATTACATAAATTATAAATATGTACAAATACATTTTATTTTTTAAATGGTAAACATGTACATCAATACATATTATGAATGAGTAATATATGGAAAGTTATATAAAGTGGGCCCAAGAAAACGGGCCTTCTCAATGGTTGCTCCCTCCCTATGCAATGTCATTCTCCCAGAAATAAGATTGGCCCCATTTTGATATTTTCCCAGAAGGTTGTGAAGACATAAATCTGTCAGTAGTCCTGAGGACCTCAAGTTGATATGAAGTTGATGAAGTGATTGGTTTGATTATGCTTGTTGCTGCTTGCAGGAGAAGTATTGGTGGGAGACTTAGGGGTTTTATATTGTGGACATTTAACATTGCAAACTGCCTGAGGTCAGCATTATAAGTTGGGCAGCTAAATAAATTTGCTAAATAAATAAATAGTTTTCAGGGTTTGGTGTTTGGTGATTGAGTATTTTCTTCATGGCTTTTTTGTCTTTCTGTTCAACATCTAAAAAATATCTGGGATTTTTCAAATATGTGTCACTTATGTGGTACATACATTTACTGCATTTAGCAGTTTGTGTGCATGTGTTTCTCTGTATGTATGTATGCAATAAAAGTAATGTGGCTGAATTCATAAGGAGAATGCAGTCCAAGCAACTCATTTTAAACCTTCTTCCGATAGTAGATCAACTGCCATTATCTGAAATGTAGGATGAATAGTGCAATAGCAATAGCACTTAGACTTATATACCACTTCATAGTGCTTTGCAGCCCTCTCTAAGCAATTTACAGTCTCAACATATTGCTCTCAACAATCTGGGTCCTCATTTTCCTGACTTTGGAAGGATGGAAGGCTGTGTCAACCTTGAGCCAGTGAGAATCAAACTGCCGAACTGCTGACAGCCAGCAGTCAGCAGAAGTAATCTGCACCACAATGGCTCATTATAACTATGTTTTCAGATATTAACAAATGATTCAGCATTTGAAATATTTTTGTTTGATGAAATTCATGACAGGATCAAAAGTTACAGCATATCTCTATCAAAGATTGAAGAAAATTTTTAAAATGGAAATTGAGATGTTTCAAACATGGGCTAAAGAACTGAAATTTCCAACAATGCCCTATCAATTGATTCATGTCCTTAAAAATACTAAAATGATATCAATAAGACTGAGATTAAAATTGATTCAATATACATACAATGAAAAATGTATTTAAGCCACCTGTTCCTAAAATCTTGCCTTAGCTGTGATGTGGGCAAATATGACATATGTACTCTGTATCTTTCATACATTCAGAAGTTCATTACAAATATTTTTTCTGCTTAGATCATACTTTGATCATAGCAGCTAAAGGTAATCTTTGGGATCAATTTACAGATTTATAATTTTATGTGTGCTATGGTTATGCATCCAAAATGACTACTGTAGGTTAATTTGTATATTCAAAAATTGCTACTTTGCTAGTTATGGATAATCACAAAACACCTATTAACCAGGAGTTAAAATGATTGTTTGCTGTCTTTCAGTTTATATTGTCTACTATTCTATTTATATTTTCTTTGAAGTATCACATTTTCACATAAGAAATATGCAAACAAAAAGAAAAGAATAAAAAGAGGAGAAACTTCTATTAGAATACTTATTATCAAGCCCAGCATGTTTCAGACACAAGTTATTTCTTTAGATGCTTCTTTTTTTGGTATAATTTTATATTAAAAGCTAGGTATATCAGAAAGGGAAACAATACAATTCCTTTTTATTTCTCATACTTTGTTGTAAAGTTGCCTATTACTTTTTGAAAAGTCAGTTGATGTCTAGATGAGAATTTTGATAGTTAAAAAGAAGTTTTTGTGTGTTTTCATTTCTGTAATCTTGTATTGTGATTTTTTTCCCTGTGCAAAAGTTCCAAAAAACCTGTGTCCAAATACTTTCTCTTAAACCTTTATCCTTTCCCTCCTCAAAATGTATAAAGTGTTGGCTCGTCATTCAGCTCCTTCAGTTGCTTCATGTCAGACCATTGAGGAGAGTTTTACCATGCTGTGCTTCCCTTATTATTTCTAACAAACATTAAATAGGAAGCATGTAAAGGATATATTCTACAGTTTTATTTTATTTTTTAATTCTTCTAATAAGACTTGAATTCAGAATGATGAAATGCATAGGAGATAAATGCAAAACACCAATAAAGGTTTGTAACAGAAGATATATGTTACTTCTGAGGTAAATTCAATCAGCAAGATGTTGGAAAGCAATTGTGTGGCAGAATTATAGCCATAATGTCCTTCTCAGATGGATCCATCAAAGTTCATTTGGGACTCTGTGTATTTCATACATCATATTCCATTTCAAGCCAAAGGCTTATTTTCTTTTTATGTGTCTCAAAATATTCACAATACATCTGTAGAATTCAGTGCACTTTATTTCTGAAAATGCCCACAGAATTGTTTTATTAGTCTTTAATAAATTGTTATACTAACCATGGAAATTGCAGAAATTAGAAGAGCATGTGGAAGTTTTGGATCAAATATTTCTTCTTTTTCTTGAATTTTTGGTGCACTTATAAAATAATTTTAAAAATTATTTAATTTTTAAATAATTTTTAATTATTTAATTTAATCTTTTTTTATATACAAAAGCCAAATCCGGCACACTGCTTGTATATATAACAGTGCTATAAAATGTTTCCTGTAAGGTTCTAATATAACCTTCACCATCAAGTCCCTACACTGTCTCCTTTCCTGGTCTACTAGCAGTAACTGCAAACCATAAGCTTAGAGAAAAGCAGTCTGCAAATTCTTAAAGGTAAAATATTGGAGGACTTCTCTGCAAGTAGATGACCTTGTTGAGTCATCAAATACAGGTAGTCCTTGCTTACTGACTGCTCATTCTGAGACTGTTGGAAGTTATGTTGGCACTGAAATAGAAGATTTAAAATTGGTACTCAAACTTCCCTGATAACACGGTCACATGTTCACATGACCATGTTATCATGATTCAGTGTTTAGCAGCCAGCATACATTTATGACAGTTGCAATATCCTATAGTCACATGATCACCATTTATGACCTTCAGAGCCAACTTCTAACAAGCAAAATCAATGGCAAGAAGTGGCAGCCACATGATGTCATGCTTAACAACTGCAGCAGAAGTTGATGCAAGTCAGGTTGAATCATATGATATTTCACTTTTCAATCATGCCACTTAGCAAGGGATTTGCCAGTCCCATTAACGTTAGTAAACAAAGATTTCCTGTAGTGTTTAAAATATTAGAAAAATTATGCATAAACTCAGCAGAAGCGGAAAAATGATAGTGGAACAGTTTTCATACCATGTTCTGCATGCATAGTTTGCAGAATTGTGACAATTATCTCAGCCCTGAGGGATTAGAAACAAGTCATTTCCAACAGTGCTATCCTTTTGTGATGCATTCCAAAAATATATGTTATGTAAAAATACAAAATAGCAAATGCGATTGAACCTAGTTGTCTTTAGAGACTTTCTGGCTTAAAAGTGAAATAGAAATACTTTTAATGGATAATATAATATTAACAATTTAAATATTAATGATGATGATCACTTTCACAATAGACATATCAGAGTTCAAATTCATTTCAAAATTATATGAGAGCTACTTTACAGTTATAATTACTATGATCATAGTTTTTAAATTATTATGGTTATCACCTTTGTTGTAATTATAAAAGTATTGAGTTATAATTAGAACAAAACTTTTGTTTATAATATATCCATATTAAAATATTTATGTTATTCAGAAGGGTTATATCTTCACCTCTTGACAATAGATAATGGAACTGCACATAAAGAGCCTTAAAAAACAAACCTACTAGGTACGTATCCAAAAGCATGTATGCCACTTTGTACATGTGTAAAATAGCAAACAAAAATAAAGAACTATCTGAAAACCCCTCAATCTGATGATGTAAGTTTTGTAATGAAACATCTGCAAGAAAGCAAGCTCAGAGAGCACAAGGACTCCATAGTTCAACCCTGCTATATTTTTGGCAATTGCAAATATGTAAATCTATGAAAAATGGAACTACAAATGACCAGGGAGTGGTTGCTTTATTTTTTAAGAAGTACATCATTTTTGCTTTTTCTATAAATTTTTAAAATGCAAGATTTGTTGTAATATTTTCACAGGTGTAAGCTCAGTTGAAATTGTGGTCCAACACGGTTTAGCTACTCCAGAAGGTCTTACTGTAGACTGGATTGCTGAAAATATATATTGGATAGACAGCAATCTGGATCAAATTGAAGTAGCTAAATTAGATGGTACACTGAGGACAACCCTAATCGCAGGTGCAATGGAACATCCTAGAGCCATTGCTTTGGATCCCAGATATGGGTAATTATTCTTTATGTTATCTTACAATGTTAAAAAATCATGCAGAATTATTTCTTAATATTGCATTGCTTTAATATAAAAAAGAGAAAGAAAAAGAAAAAGCAGTAAAAAGAGGGAAACAACCAAAACGTATTTTAAAGAAAATCATGGAATTTTTAAACGCATAGTTAAATCTCGACCATACAAAATAACCGTGGTCAGTCTATTTATTGCTTATTTATTATTAATAGTAATCAAGCATAAATTTTAATGCCTTTAAATCTGAGGAAGTACATTTTTTTACACTGGAGTTTTTTTTCCTTTTTGGTAGTCCCAACCTTAATAAATTCATAATTCTTTATGTTTTGATCAATTGCATTTTAACTATATAATTCAAAGGTACATTTACATTTTAAAACTAAAAACTAAAACACTGAGTAAAACTAAAAAAACTGAATAAAACTAAAGATTAAAACACTGATTGCTTGGGATGGGCATGAGATCAGTCTGATCTCTGGAGAAATGATATTCAGAGGTGCCTCAACAGAAAGTCTCTCTACCTGGAACTAGCAAGCCAACATATATATTTAATATTTTGAAACTTCTTTGCCTATTAAACATTTTTACATTTTCCTTTGAAATACCTATTTCATTAATCCTCATCTACTTCACACTGAGTTTTTTGTTTTTTGTTTTACTATAGAGAAGTTAAAATATTACACTAATTCTGGCATCAGCTGAAAAGGATGCATGTAGCTGAGTATTATTAATGTATAATGAAAACGGCTAAATGGAATAATATCTCATAAAGGTTTGCCTAAATGGTAAATAGCATATGTACCAAGGGTGGTATTCAGCAGATTCTGACCAGTTCTGGTGAACGGGTAGTGGAAATTTTGAGTAGTTCGGAGAACCGGCCACCTCTGACTAGAGATTTTACAGTATCCTTCCACTGCCATGCCCACCAAGCCACGCCCACAGAACCGGTAGTAAAAATATTTGAATCACACCACTGATATGTATACATAAACACACATGAGAGAAATTGTTAACATTTTGTATTCATTTCACCACTCTGTGTAAAGTAGTTTTAAATTTTACATACTCACTGCTGAAGAAAAGCAAAAACCTTCTCAATTTCACCTTGTTTCCTTCACCTGGGTGATTGTGTATAAAGCAACCTATTGCAAGCATGTTCAAGAGTCCAAATTGTATCCATACTGAATTTTAAATTGATATCAGCAGGGACCTATGCATCTTGAATTAGTTGTGTGCTAAAACATCCAATGTTGTGTGCTGAAACATCTGTAAAGTGGTACTGTGAAGTCAGCAAGTAGTATTTCCCCTTTCAGAATAGATAAACAGAATGCAACAAGAGCCAACCCTCGGAATTTGATTATATGGGAAATAAGATGAGGAAATAGGTCCCCCCAATAGGGATCAAACTTTTTGCATTTTTTCCTGAACTGCATTAAACTGGACAATATGAGAGCATAGCAATACAAAGCTTTAGACAAAACTTTAGAGAAGTACAAGCTACTGGAACATAATGGAGCCTCCCTAAATTTTGCATTGGACAAGTTAGTATAGTAGAAATACCATTATGAAATACATTCTACATGGCAGAAATAAATCACAATGGCTATTTCACTCACAAAACGTAAATGAGACTGAAAAGTGTGTAGACAACCCTTGTATTTCTGTTGGGGGAGGAGAATTAAAACCCTGGAATAGCTAATTAGTGGGTGCTTCTTTTTAAATACCAATTAAGATTTTAACACAACATCCTTTGGAAAAGATAGATCGTGCACATTTTTCTTGGAGGAATTTATATTTTTAGTAGCCAATCAATTAGCCTTCCTCTAGCAGCTTTTATGAGCCAGGAGTGAGTGAGTATAAAATGCAAGTGTATGTGAACATAAAATACAAGTATAAAGTTCACTTCTACAAGACAAAACAAATAATTCATCTATTGGCACTAGGAACATGGTTTAAGTAAGCATTCACTAAAATTACTTTTTAACCTAAAGTTCAAGCAGGAGTACATGCAGCTGATGTTATCAGCAATGTTTTGCAAACTACTCACAGCAACCTTCAGATAATTCCTTTTAACTACACTACAGAAGAAGATGTAATGCCTAGTAAATCACCTGAAATAACTCTACTGGATAACTGTGGTAATGTATTAGAGGCAGAGAAAAAGGATTTCTTCCTTGCTACAGAGTAGATCTCACAAAAATGTTAATGTGTATTTAGATTCAGACTGAAGGTTTTTTCCCCCCTCCTATATTATTTAGTTTATGGTGCTTAACTAAATTTCCTCACTAAGAGGGTCTCATTCTATGTTGAGCAGAGGAATAATCTCTGAAAAATGCTCTGATAATTCCATAAATCAATTATGATAATAAATTCTAGTTGTAGAAAATCCCTCAAAATATTTAAGAATTATTGGAATAGGTCAATTTAGTACTATCCCTAGAAGATAAGGAAACCTGTAAATTAAAACTAAAATCAGTTAGCCTCTCCATCATAGTGCTGTTTTTTCCCAATTGTATAACATTCAGATTAACGCCATTCTTGCAAATGAAAAATACTTTTTAACTTTTAAAAAAATATTTTTAAAGTAAATGAAGTAAAGTTATATTTGCAATCAGTATAGTTTCACTGTACCAGAAATTATAGAAATAAATTTGTTAGCAAAATCACTGTTTTTCCAATGGCAAGATATACAATCTATCATTTATTTACTTACTCACTTATTTACTTACTTATTTCAAAATATTTACATAATATGACTATCTTGGGAAAAATGCCTGGGCTAATCGTGATTGGTAGCTAATAATGATGCTTTTTTCTAAATTATTAATTATTTTATTTGCTCCCATTAATATGTCTCTTTTTGCATCATTCAGAATTCTGTTCTGGACAGACTGGGATGCTAATTTTCCTCGCATTGAATCTGCTTCCATGAGTGGAGCAGGAAGAAAGATCATATATAAAGACATGGATAGTGGAGCATGGCCTAATGGTCTTACAGTTGATCATTTTGAAAAACGGATAGTTTGGACAGATGCTAGGTAAAATATATGAATATGTTTCTTATAATTTATTTTCAGAATACATAACAAAGGGTAGAAAATGTTATTTGGTTCTTTTTTTAATGTCTAAAATTGTTGTGGTCCGCCGGTGGCCTGCAGAGCTGGTAGCAGAGTTGGACATAGACCAGTTCTGGAGTCTGGGGAGGGCTCGGATGAGGGATTTCTATCCGACACAGAGATGGGGCCAGGGCCATCTGAGACTTATGTGCTGACTCCATAGCCTCCAGAATCTGACATCAGCAAGGCAGAGGAACAGGGGGAGCCTGTTCCCAGTGTGTGCTTGCGCAGAGCTGCCAGAAGGCAAGAACAGTTAAGACAAAAGGGGCAACTTGGGAGTAAGGCTTGGAGATGATTGGCCTCTCCCATAAGACATAAAGGAGGAGCAAAAGAAGCAACTTTGCAGGAAGCAACTTTGTTCATTCTGGTCGGTTTAAAATCTGAAGCTCTGTGTTGACTTTGTGCTCTATTTGGCCTTGTACAGCTAATTGGCAATTTAGTTGTTGGCAGAATTTCAAGGGAGATAAAGGTGGGTGCTTATCAGCCTTATCCTGAAAGACTGTGGCAGAGTTATGTTGGACTATTCATAAATTTCTTGGTACTCGCTACTGGCTGTGAATGCATATAATTCACAGCTGTTGAAATAATAATTAAAAAAGGTGTTTTGGAACAGTGTGTGATTGTTACTATCTCAGGAAGCCTTGGTCAGAACAAAAACTGTATTTACCACAAGAACATGTACATTAGGAATGCATACCAGTATAAGCTTCTTAAATCATTGTATTGCAAATCTTTGAACCACGAAAATGCATGTATTTGGGAAACAGATGAACATCGTTTATGTAGACCTTAAATAAATCTGAAAAAGGATATAGGAAAGTATTAGAAAATATGTAACCACATAAAATGACCAGAACAATGCCCTTAAATCAAGAAAAGCAACATAAAGGCTACCTTTGGGAAGTTAGAGAAATTTTTTCAACCAAATATATAAAACAGAATATTGATCAATGATAAAATATTATAATCTGCCACTGATGGTTAAAAGCCTGGAGATTTACTGAGTATATTCAGTCTAAAAAATTATGATGTAAAAATTGGCTTATAAAGTTTTCTAACTGTTAAAAATAATTAATTGAATGGTAATAAACATTTGCTTATCACTTTTCTAGTATATGATGAGACTGATACAGTTAAGCTGCCCTTTGGGAAGCAATATAAAATTACTTTTTTATTTGTTTAATTTTCCAAGAAATAGATCATAGATGTAATAAGCACAATTTCAAGAGAGTGTTTTAATCATTTTTCAGGTCAGATGCTATTTATTCAGCACTGTATGATGGGACTAGCATGATTGAAATTATACGAGGTCATGAATATCTTTCTCACCCTTTTGCTGTCTCCCTTTTTGGGAGTGAGGTATATTGGACAGACTGGAGAACAAACACATTATCTAAAGCAAATAAATGGACAGGCCAAAATGTTAGTGTGATACAAAAAACTAGTGCACAGCCTTTTGATCTTCAAATTTATCATCCAAGCCGTCAACCCCAAGGTAAAGTAATAATTTGTATAAAAATGTTAATTGTAGCCTTTGTATTGTTATTCAACCATTGTTAAGTAGTAAATATAAATGGTAATATGTGTATACGTTTATGTGAAAGACTTTCCTCTCTCTCTCTCTCTCTCTCTCTCTCTCTCTCTCTGTGTGTGTGTGTGTGTGTGTGTGTGTGTATACGAGCAACTGAGAAATCTGACATTTTGTATTTATCAATAAATATTTCTCTGAATGTCAGTTTATATTTTCTATGGTGCTTATACAGATAAAGTTTTTGAACACTGTGGCTCATTGTAAGATTCATAAACAAAGCATAAAATGAATTGCCTTCTGCTTCTGGGAAGAAGTACTAGCCATTAGTTGTTAGGGAGATAATTTAATTTTGGATCAAGATAATAAGTATTGTGTTTGTGTATCACACACTGCACTGATTTTGGAACCATTCTGTGAGGTTATTATTTTTTTAACAAGTATTGTAGTCAGATTGATGAATAACAGCTGTTCACCCTACCATCATATTTCATGGGTAGATTGATCTAGAATTGTTGAAAAATATTATCTGATTTTAGAGGGATCTAATAGGGAAAATTACAAAGACCTTTCTCCATTTTTCACCCTGTTGGTGCTTTAAGTCAGTAGTGTCAAACTCGCAGCCCACAGGCCTGATGCGTCACGTACTGGCCCCGCCCCAACTCCTGCCCAGTTTAGCAAAGGGAAAAAAATGTCCCGATACTTCATGTGAAACCACCGTGACTATGCAAGTTTGACACCCCTGCTTTAAATAGCATGGTTGCAGTACTGCAAAGTTATACCTAATGTTTTCATTGAATTAATAGAATTATCTTCAACCAAGTATTGGGACATTAGTAGAAATCGCACTTTGCTTCATTATAAGTCAAGATTGTTCATCTTTATCGGCTCCTCTACACATTAATATTATGCATATATTAAATATTGTCAAAGTAGACACTATGTTGAATAATAACAGTGTGCTTCAGAAATCCTCTTTGTGCAACTTTCATGTTTGTGTTTTTTCAGCTATAAAAAAAGAAAAATAGAATAGCAATAAGGGTTAAAATTAAAAAAGAAAGCTCTGAACTGCAAAAGAAAAAAATATTGTCCTTGATATTTCATTTTCAGGAATCTAAGCCTGTACGTTAGTATGTGTGCTGACCTAGGGTGGGATACAAAAATAAATACAGTCACAAAAACAGGTGAAGCCCCTTTTATTCCTTCACTTTGCTTCAAAGCTCCAAATATCCTTGACTGGAGACAAAAAATTCCCCCACAAGCAGTTACGAAAAGGAGGAAATGCCGTTTAAAATAAAAATGCCTATAAATTATGAAGAGTAAAAACAACACAAACCACACTGAAACAATTAAGGGAACCAGGCAAGATAAGGGCTTGAAAATGTCCACAGATATCGGAACACACACTGGGAAGGATGCCAAACTCAGAGAGAAACGACAGACTGGAGATATTTCCACACTTCGTTTCCAGCACTGGCCCATACGCATGTCCGTCCTTTTAACCAGTTGTCACAGCTGCAGCACATGAAGAGGATCAAAGCCCTTTCCTCTCCCGTAGACCATGCCATCCACATTTCTCCCTTATCGTCTCCTCCCTGCATGCCCTAGGATGGAGAGGGGATGGGCCTGGGTCTTCCTCTGACTGCCCAACTGGCCTCTGCCCTTCTCTAGCCTCCTCCACCACCTCTGGAGCCACACTTGCACTCCGTGTTGGCTGTTCCTCCTCTCCCTCAAAGTCAGTCTCCAACAAGGGCATGACAGTATGTATATGTCTCTGGTTAAATACAGGGTATCTACTGGACTAAAATTCAATTAGTTTCTGTGTCAGATAGATTAGATTTATATCAATATAATAAGTAGTTGTTAGTTAACTCCATCTAAGCTTTGTAATACTTGGAAAATAATACAAAAAAAAATCAATGATTATTTTTAGAGAAATCTTTTCACAAGCAACCAAATTTATGATATATTTCTGTTATAACTGCAATTGTTTTCATCAGTTTTTATGAAAATATGTTTGCAATCATTATACTAGAAATCCTACCAATAACATAATATAAACATTTAATACATTACAGATATATATGTAATGTGTTATCCTTCATTATGCTATAATTAAGCAGTAAAGTACAGAACAACTTAAATGTAAGTCTCTCTATCATATTTCATTTATTTTAGTCTTAATAACTGCAGTGGGCTTTCATTGCTAGACATTAAACAAGTTATGTAAAAAGTCCTTAAACTTGTATTTAAACCTTCTTTTGCTAAGAATTTAAGGAAACTCAGCCAATACATGTCAATCCGAATATTCCTAATAGCTGCATAACAGTCAAAAGGCAGTCTTTGAAAATGCTTAAGAAACGAGAGAAAGAAAAGAAAGAAATGAGGCTTCTTCATATAGGTTACATTATGTTTGTGAGCTTGAACAAAATCCCTCAATTCCCAGACATTCAATTTATAGCTGATCACAAAAACCTCAGTTTCTGCAGTCAATTCATGAGAAGCAACTGCTCAGGGTAAAAGTGAGCAATCTCATGATTTCTTTTTTTCTGGGGAGACCAGCCAGAATTCTCTTTCTGACTGCCAATCTCAACTGCATTGCCTTCCTTTATCCTTCAGAAATATCAGGCTTGAATCCTGATCAGAAGCTCAGTTATAAGAACTTCGTTGAATATGTCAAGAAAGAGAAAACAAAAAGTGGTGCCGATAGCCGCTGAGAATATCTCTGCCGTTACCAAATCCATCAACCCTCTTCTGAGCACACACTTAGGCACAATCCTGGATGCAAAAAAAAAAAAGTATTATTTCCTTTCCAATGGAATTCAGTTCAAAAATTCAGCTGACCATATCTTGTAATACCAGACTTCAAGGCCAGATGATCATCTGTATGGATTGAATATGATAGAAAATTCAAACCCTTCCAGCGAAGTTGCTTCCCTTCTGAGAATGTACTAATAGCTCAAAGAACCCATCAAGAACAGAGTACTTAAGTCCTCTGGAAAAAAAAAATTGAAGAAAGCCTTCATGCTGCCATGAGCATGCTAGGGCTCACCCTCCCCTCTTTAAAATAAAAACAAAAATAAAATTGAAAATATACATTTCTCTGAGTCTCTTTTATGGTAAAGCAAATGTTGCTCCCTGCTTTCCTCCTAAGAAATTCTTTTCCAGCCTGCAAAAAAAGCAGAAATATCTGTCACTTTATGTTAAAGAGCAATGATTTATATGTTTCCATGGGCAAAATCCAACTCAGCATCTCTTCTTTTGGAATGATCATTGGATAATAATAATTGAATGTTAATAAATATCACTTCTCTGCAGGTTATATATCTTTGTTCCCTTTCTCCCCTCTCCAATTACATTCTTATGATCAGTCAATCAATATGAAATCCTGCAGAATAGGAAACAATACAATATATGAATATAGGCAAATGTGTATTATAAACCAACCTGGTATTACATTTTTAATTCTAGCTTCTAATCCTTGTGCTGCTAACAGTGGCAGAGGTCCTTGCTCCCATATGTGCCTGATAAATCATAACAGGAGTGCTGCTTGTGCATGTCCTCATCTAATGAAACTGGCTGAAGATAAAAAGGCATGTTATGGTAAGTTTTGTACATCTTAAAAAACTGCTTAAAAGACAGAACACAGAGCCTCTGAGGTGCCATTTACTGATAATCTTGATGGTAAACTGTTGCTTCATATTAATGAATGGATTGCTTTTTTGCAGGTAGCTTGTGAAGATTTATTATCTTGGGTTGTTTTTTTCTCCTTTTCACTATGAATATAAATAGTGTGATTCACAGAAGTTATCTTCCCCAAACAGGAAAATTTCAAAATGGGAAAATATCAGACAATGATGATGCAAGTAAACTATATAATGAAAAGCTTACTAGTTTAATCTCTACCTTTCTTCTTTTGAACTCAATATCATTCTGAGAGTCTTATAATGTAGAAGTTATTTAAAAAATCTGTAAAATTATAATAAAGGCAGAAATGTGAATTAACTCTCACATACTTGGTGTTTGGGGAGAAAAATAAAACAAAACAGTATAATGCTTCATTATCAAGATATACCTTCATTATCAAGATATAACATGATATATTAACAAATATAATGTGTTCTTTGAGATATAGATAATTGGATAAAAGCAATATTGATGCTTTCATATAAAATTTCCATCTTGGACAACTTTCCAAAAAAACTTTTCCATTCATCTTGGAGAGAGGAGCTCATTATACACATCTTTTTATATTTGTTTTTGTAGCAGGACACTATCCTTACCTTTACTGTTATTGTTGATTCTTTTCACTACAAAATTGCTCTTACATTTTTTCCGTGTTCCATATAGTTTCTCTCTCATATGTCTATCAAGATTCTCAGTCATCCAGGTCATGGTCACCCAAAGGTGCTTTTTCAGGAGGCAACTAGACTTTCTGGTTTTTCTTTGAAGATGTTTCACTTCCCATTCAAGAAGCTTCTCATCCTAGAGAGTTGAAGAAGCTTCTTGGATGAGAAGAGAAACATCCTCAAAGAAAAAACATAAAGTCCAGTTGCCTCTTGAAAAAAAAAAAAAAAACACCTTTGGGTTTCTCTTATACTTTAGCCTCTGTTTCTTTTTAAAAAAACACCATATATTTTATTCCTATAAGTCAGTGATGGCTAACCTATGACACACATGTCACTTGTGACACGCCGAGGCACTTTGACTGACACGCCTGTTGGTGTGGGGAAAACCTGCACATTTAGAGGCTGCCTGTGCTCTGCTCCAATCCCTGCTCCCTGCTTGTTGCGTGGAGGTGTGGTGTCACCGCTGCCGCAAGATCTTTGCAGCAGAGAACCAGTTTTAACCGCCAGAAACTGAGGTTTGTCAGTTTCATTACCTCAGGAACGCTACAGGAGGAAAGGAGATCCATGAGGTTCACAGCCCTGTAAGATGGCCTTCCGATCCCCACATCCTGCACCTGCAGCCCTGAGACCAGGGAGATGAGTTTCACAGCCCTGTGTGATCACCCCAGCCCAGTCCGTCATAAACCAAATTATTGATATTTCTTGAAGTGACACACGACCCAAGTAAGGCTACACTTTTTCCCGATTTTCGACACACCAAGCTGAAAAGGTTAGCCATCACTGCTATAAGTACTGAAAAAGTAAAGCAAGAGTCCACACAATTCAGAATATATTAAATTATACATAACTAAATATTGTACAAAAGATGAAATCCACAAACTAAGTCAGCTGAGTGACTTTGGAGCAGTCAATTCTCTTATTACTTATTAAGTCATTTCTGAAAAATGCTGCCAATAAAAGTTTAGGTTTTTTTTTCCATAACATGAAAGCACAACTTTTCAAGCATATATTTGACATATAAAATCTACTTTCAAGTTTCTATATTTTAGCTAAAAAAATACCTAAATAGTTTAATATGTCACTATTACATCCATTCTCACTTTACTCATATTCTTGTACTTGGTGCACAAATTTATACTTCGTTTAGAAAAACTATACAAAACATTTTTTTCACTCATAAGCCCAAGAATCTGAGGGAATATTGCAGGGAATTGATAAGTGGGAGAAAGAGGTGAGGAGGTAGTTTTCATGACAATTTTGTGGTAGTTCAGGAGAAAATATAATATGACTCTTTACTTATTAATTTTATTTGGTGCCTGTCTGATTTTAATTTGATTAAGAAATGTATAAACACATGTGATTTTCTAAGTCAATGTGCAGCCTGCAGGAATCCAGTTTAGTATCCCCTATTTTTATTTGGGTTTGATATAATTGGTATAAGGAATAAAGGCCATTTTTTAAAAAAAAAACCAAAAACATTTTTTCCCCAAAAAGGACCACATCAAAGTGACTCAAGCAGCTTTTCAAGGCCATGGATTTTGTAGGGCTGGGGAACTATATTTGGAAGATTCCATTGTATCCAGTACAAGGAACAGCTAACATAAGCAATAGGAACATTTCATATACTGCTTTCATATGAGAAATGTATGTATGTATGTATAGTGGAGCAGAAATATTCTAGTTATTTTTTTACACCCTTTCAATATAAAGGTGAGGAGATTGGTCTCTTTTTTGAAGGAGGACAAAAATTCTCTCCATTACTTACACACAAGAAGATCATAGGGTGAGGGCCAGGTAAAGAGTTTCCACAAAGATAGATGATAACAAAAAAAACTACAAACTACTACGCCTATAAACAAGGTGAGAAGAGGGAGTGAAGAGCCAGAGAGTAGTTTGGGAAATAACAGTTGGGACCCACTACAAATCTCAGCATTTCACTACATTGTTGAATAACTTTGTTTTCATTTGTTAATTTCTTTAAAAAAAATTGGGGGGAGGGGAAGGCAGGATTAATTGGACAGGAAAAAAAACTCAGTTGAATCAATCAAGATCAGCTTTCACATCTCTGGACCATGTTTTGTTTCTATCAGTATTAGATTTTAAATTTATTTATTTAATATCAGCAAAATAGGTGAATTTTATTTATAGTAGGATAATATCCATTAATTCTGCTCTATTCAACAGCAAATTTTGTTCACACATAATAATACCAAATAAGTTATGCACTTGTATATTGTATTTTTAATACAGCTAGTCCTTGACTTATGATCACAAATGAGCTCAAAATTTCTGTTGTTAAGTGAGAGAATTATTAAGTGAGGTTTTCCTCCTTCTACATCTTGTCATAATTGTTAAGTGAATCACTGCAGTTGTTAAGTTAGTCACATGGTTGTTAAGTGAATCTGGCTTTCCCATTGACTTTGGTTGTTAGAAGGTCACAAAAGGTGATCACAATTTCCAGGATACTGCAACCATTATAAATATAAACCAGTTGCCAAGTGTCTGAATTTTGATCATATGACCCTGGGGATGCTGCAAAGGTTGTAAGTGTAAAAAATAATCACTTTTTTCAGTGCCATTGCAACTTCAAATGGTCACTAAATGAATGGCTGTAAGTCAAGGACTACCTGTATGCAAATTTAAACATTATATATGTTGTTATACATAAAATTGCATTTCATTGCTCTGTAATCACATCTTTCTTTTTTATAGAAATGAAAAAGTTCCTTCTTTATGCAAGGCATTCAGAAATAAGAGGTGTTGACATAGAGAATCCATACTTCAATTATATAACAGCATTTACAGTTCCTGATATTGATGATGTAACTGTTGTAGATTTTGATGCAGTGGAAGAACGTTTATACTGGACTGATGTGAAAACACAAACTATAAAACGGGCCTTTATTAATGGGACTGGCTTGGAAACTGTCATATCAAGAGGTAAAGTGTGTACTTTAGAAAGCACTATTGTGTATATTTAAGAAACAAAACATAAATTAGCTTACCTCCCTAATTAACATATTAACATATCAACTGGCCATGTGGTGTTGTGTTAAGCTGGCCATTGTTAATTGCACAAAAATATTATCTTAGTTATATATTACATATAGAAGCTTCCTACATCTTGGATTAAAATTATTTGGCTTGAAAACTGCATTTTTGTCACTCCCACTACCCCTTGTATCTATATATATGGTCATTGACTGTAATAAATAGATTTCATTTGTTTTGATTTAATATTTGTTTTTCTCTCAAAAATCCCAAGATATGCTTTGATGTCCAAGAGCTGTTTGTTACATACAGTTTTTTTGACAATCATATTTCGGTTAAATTTGATAACTTCATTTCTAAATCTAAAGTGCCTTTCAAAAGGATTTAATTTTTAAGCAAATCATTTCAAATTTGATCGTCTTGTGTTATAATGCCATCATGAAGTACCCAAAAGAAAATAGTAACTATATATGGTTGTTTCCAAATCTGTCCACTGGTGTAATAGGATGTGGCAATAACCTTAGGAGACTGGTGGGGGTGGGGTGTGCCTAAGGAATTATCACAAAGAGGGTATCCCAGTTGCATTGCAGGCAGAAAAAAAAACACCATCCAAAAATATTCTCCATAATTTATTAGGCTGTAAAAAGAGATGGTGGGGGATTTGTACTTTCAGATTTACATAAAGTAGAATTAGCTCATCTGGCCATGTTTCTAGTCTGGTCTATCAGGGAAGTCTGATACCTACAAAGAGAAGAGAAACACACCCCAATGGCCCTTTATCCACTGAGACTTTGAGCCATGAAACCTGATCTGGTTTAGCATTTATAATTTGTACCATAGAATCTTGGAGGATGGCCACAAAGTGTACTAGTATTCAGTATAACGTTTTTATCTTTGTTCTCCGGAATCTGATGTACAAAATGATGTTTTCTGCATGTAGAATATAGTCATCAAGATTATTAATCATTCATTTCTTTTTTAAAAAGTCTATTAGTGCTATTTAAGGTGACAGCTATCTCTCTCTCCTTAGTTCTGCTGAGTACAATTGAAGTATTGTCTCTTCATCAGACATGAATCTCTTCTGACAAGCTTTGTTAAATGTCTTGTGGGATATTCTATTTTAGAAGTCTCTACACCAGGGTTATTTGTATTTAACTTCATTTGAAATGAACTTTTCTCATTCAGTTCTTAATTTTTTTTAAATTTAACTTTAAAATGACAGATTTTATTTTAATGTTTTCTCCTTTTCCCACCCATGTTTTGAATGAACATGAATTAAGCAATGAATAAACAATTGGTTGTGTAATTTAAATCCGTTAAAATTAAAGTTTGCATTTGTTCCATAAAGTATGAAATCTAGTCATATTTTTGAAAATTCATGATCCATAGATCCATAGATAGAAAATTCATGATCCATAGTTATTACAGATATGTTATTCTGTACAGTTGTTAGAATTAGGGGAGAGTGCATAATTTATCAAATATATCTGTTTCAAGGGCTTTTCCAGATTATATCTGCATGTATGCATTTCTTTATCAGGAATACCTGAAGCTATGAGCATGCATATCCATACAGGTGGAACCTAAGAAAGGCCTGAAAGTGGTCATGCTAAACCTCAGTGCTATTTGGGTGCTTTGGACAACCCAATATACACAATCTTCATTTTGCTCTTCATGCTTTTAGTGTATATATTTGTTCAGTCCTATATATTTTAGCATAAAAGCTAATTTGAATTAAATAAAATTTAAGTATTGCAAGTCTCAAGTTACTTGGGGTTTACACAGCATATAAAATATTTTCAGCAGTAAAACTAACTAGTAGGACAGTTTGGGCAAATAGTTTTTTTGTTTTATATTTTGTAGATATTCAAAGCATTCGTGGACTGGCTGTGGATTGGTTATCACGTAATTTATACTGGATTAGCTCAGAATTTGATGAAACACAAATTAATGTAGCCCATTTAGATGGCTCTTTAAAAACTTCAATTATACATGGAATTGATAAACCACAATCTCTTGCAGTTTATCCAGCTAAAGGGTAAAGTATTATTCCTATCAGTACAGTTTTAGGATAGTAAACAATGTGCATACTTTGAGATATAAATTTGTGTTCACTTGTCAAGTTTAGTAATATTTGTACTTTGGTGTTATATAATCCTATGTTAGCCACCCAGAGTCACTTGGCAATTGGGCAGCTATATAAATAGAGGAAATATAAATACATAAAAAGAGAATTTAGTAAATTCTATCTTCCTATAAGATGAAATCTCCATGGAGTACTAGTATGGAGACTCCATTTTCAAAAAAAAAAAAATGTGTAAAAAGAGAAAAGGTATAATAAATTAGATCTCTATGTATCCAATGTTTTTATGGATACCTATTTTATTTTTAGGGAACTTTTCCTCTGTATGTATGGGACAAGTTGTGATTTTTTTCATGATCAGTATTAAAAATACATTTTTGAATGGTTTAAATTATTTTTGATATTCTAATATTAATCACAGTCTGGAAGTGATATTATTTGTACCCCTCTAAAGAAAAACACAGATTAAAACACTGTGTAATGTGACCTACACTTACTATCTTTGGAGTCTAAGAAAGTGCAGTTTATTTTTGATACAGCATAACATTTAAAAGTAAACAAAATATATGTATTATCATTCTAAACAATTTAATTTAAAAAAATCTATTCCAATTTCCAATTAGAAAAGCCAAAGTTGTTAAATATATTTTAAAGTTAAAGCTTCACATCTATAAGTTTTAATGCATTATTTCATACATTAATGTATCTTATTATTTAGTTATTTAATTTTATAAATGATGTCGTGCAGATATGGTGATCATTCACAATTCTTGCCAACTCATAATTCTTTTTCTGACTAGTTTTAGAAATCAGATTCAATAAGTATTCCACACAATCTCTGACTAAGGAATGGTTTCAGGATGATAGAAGAGAACCAATGTAAAGCTATATCATATTATGTTTGCCTAATAGTTTGGAGATAAAAATAGTTAGGAGATAAAAATTCACCATTATTAAAGCTCCATATTTTTCCCATATATCACCAATCCACATAACTTCCAGTCTGGTGCTAGAGTCATACATTTCTTTCCATAATAATAAAAGGGAAAAAAAAGTTTGTATCTCCTGCCACAACTTACAAAAAGTGATTGTTGTTCCAGAATGGATTGTATTTCTTTCTCTAATAAAATATGATTACTGTGTTAATATGCTTATTACAACAGTATTTTATATCTATTTTCATTAAGGAAACTTTATTGGATTGATGGGAACACAATTAACATGGCAAATATGGATGGTAGCAACAATAAAATACTACAACAGAATCAAAAAGACCCAGTTGGTAAATATAGCTATAACCTCCTTCGTGTCAAGTTATTTTGCTGTAACTCAAGAAATTATATTTTCATGTGCACAAAGTAAACAGGCATAGACAATAGCAAATACTTCAGCTTTCATTTTTCACAGAGTATTAGAATGCTGGAATTTTCATGACTCCATTCATTGTGCTAAGTCACAATCTGATTTGTTCATATTATCATGTTGTATAAATTCAACAATATAAATATAGCCCTCTCATTACTAGTGGATTGTGAGTAAGATTTAATAAACTAGGATTTTAAACAAGCCATAACTTAATAACCTTGTGAAACAGTCAATTCAAGTTTGTGTTTCTTTATGTATGTAAAAATTTAGCAGACATTTGTAATGTCAAGGCAAGTGTATTTTGGTTTGGTTTTGATTATTATAGACCAGAATAACTTAAAAAAGACGATAATAACATAGATACCCCCAAAAGTATATATTGAAAATGATATACCAAACACATATAAAAATATATGTTTTGGCATACCATATTTGTCAGTATATTACCAAAGCAAACAGATCATTTAATCATGATATGTTAAGCCTGATTCGTTTTTCTTCCAAAAATGGGACAATATACTACCAGTATTTTGTGTTTTTTGGCTTTATTGACTTGGAAACTTTTATTTCTTTAGAACCTGTGTTGCTTATGTGAGTTTTATTATGGCCTGTGCTTTATCTTTGCTTTTGTTTTTTTAATAGATCATAGTTTCTGTGTATATGTGTTTATGTATGTTTGAGGTGATGTGACTTTTTCTTGATATATTTGTAAGAGGTGCAATGTATGTGATATAAGTCTTTGTGAGGTGGGTTTGGAGAAATAGCTATGGACTTTCATGCAGGTATATATTTTTCTTATATATTTTTTTCTCTTTATTGACACAAGTATTTTAGCGGTAATTTTGGGTTGCCTTACAGTTTGGATTTGGAGGACACAGTCCTCAAATTTGTGAATTTTGCACATGGAAGAATTAACCATGGCAAGAAAGCTATTACTAAAAAGAATAGTGCTTTTTCAAGATTTTCAAGGAAAATTTTTGCTTCAAGGAACAAGCATTTTAAGCTGGTTTTGCCTGGCATCTTTGTAGATTAGTATGAAGCTTCGGTCATGAACAGTGGGATGCTACTGGTTCTGCCCAGTTTTAAAGAACCAGTAGCTCTGAAGAGCAGCAGACACCAAACCGGTTCTGTGTTTGCTGCTGTTTGGCCCACCCACCCGCCTGGGCTCTTACCTGTCCTTTATTTCCTGCTTTTTCAACCTCAGCTGCTTTGCACAGCAAAACGTAGTCATCGAACCGGTAAGTAACACCGGTTGAATCCCATCCCTGCTCAAGAACAAAATCAAACTGTATGTATGTTATGGAGATAACATTGATAAGCCATATTCTTCAAACCATAATTTCAACTTGTAAAATATTGCCAAAAATATAGATTGACTTCCTAAATATAACACTAACTAATCAGGCAAAAGAACTCTGCCTTTGTAATACTTGAATATCCCATACAATTAAGTGTTCTTCATTGGTGGACCTGAGGGGAAAATTGACAAACCCCTGTAGCATTTCATACTGAATACCCTTGCTGTATTTTCAACAGATTCTAAGAAATAACATTTATGTTTAGGACATACATTATATAATTTAGATTTATTATTTCAGTGTTCTCTTTACATTTCTGCCTTGCATTTCTTATTTCCCTTCTTTCTGTTCACAATGTCTGGCTACTAATGATTAGTCTTTTGCCTTTTTTCTATTAAAAGGTTTTAGCAATTTAGCTTGTCTTCATTTCTAATTTCATTTTAGTTGTTGCTTTGCAAAATCATTTGGCTACATAAAATTATGGAATTATGAATAGCAAACATTATAATTTGTAGACCAATTCTGTAAAAAACAGAAACACTTCTAAAATTGATCTCAAAAGTTTTATTCCAAATTAAAGGTAGATTTGTAACAGGTCTACAGGCCAGGCATGAATAATGTTTTAAGAGTCATAGACCACAGTTCATCTTCTTAACATTCCAGAGGATCTTGTCCTATAGCAATATCTTTATAAGAGTAGAAGTATATTTGGAGACACTTTTTCATATTTGGAAAATTTAACTGTAAGATTTTGCTATTTTTATGGCAGATTTTGGTCATGGTGATTGAAGTGAGATGGGAGTGATTGGCCTCTGTCCTGACGTTTTTATTTTAACTCTTAACTCCTTCCCCATTCAAATGCAAAAATACAGTAAAATTCAGGCTCACAAATGAAAATTTGGAGCCATTTTTAAAAATTTTTAAAGTTGGGAATAGGAAAAGCAGTTGTGGCTTCCAGTTCTCACTTCTATTTTTTGGCAAGGATAAAGAAAAAAAATATCCCATCAAAATTGGCTACACTGGTTACAGATATTAGTTGCAGTTTCAAGGTTGAGGATCTATAATTGGAGAAGATGCAGACAATATGGTTTGGCAACTGCTCACTTCTGCTTACACACAAACTATTCCCGTTACATACATGGTTCCATAATGTTCCCTTACAACATTCTGCATAAATATTAAGTCATGATTTGTTGACTAAACAATAGTTGACTGGGTTCATAGATTTCAGTATTGAATAATTATGGTTTATAAGCCACAGTAATTGGGTTCACACACATTATGAAATAAGTCACATTAAGCCTTAGCATAATTCATTCAATCAACCATAAAGTTTTGCCTTAAATTGTGAGAACATTTGTTAAAATAATTTGACATGGCTGGTAATAATGGAAGAAAAAAAGGTGACTTTTTAAAATAATTTTCATATTCAAAAAATGGGTACTGCAAAATAGTATTCATTTCAGTAATCTGGTCTCCCCTGAATAGTTTTACCAAAATTCACTGTATTGCTTTTTCTATTAATAAAGAAAATATTTAGTGACTGACTAATCTACAGTATGTTTGCCTTTTGCTTATTGCCTTTAAAAATCCATTTACTTGAAATATAATTGTGTTACAATCTTGTCAGACTAACTGCTTGGCATTTATTAGTATGCACTGCTACTCAATGAAAAATGGTAATCTTCAAGCAATTTGGTTCAATGAATTTTGCTTCTCTAAAAAAAGAAGAGACAAGAAGAGCATTTTAAACATATCTATTGTTAAAAATTCCTCATTTAGATGTATTCTTTGTTACCAGAGGTATTAAGAACATCAAACAAAATATGAGATTGCATTAATTAGTATGCAATGTATTTAATACTCAATCTCCTAATGATGTCAAACCCTTCCCGAGTTTTTTGTGTTGCTTAGATATTTTCACTTGTGCACATTGGTTTATTGAAGTATACAGTGGGGAAAAATCATACCAAGATAACAAATCTTTCTCAAAATAATTTTTAAAAACCTTAAGTACAGTAAATAAATAAATATTCTTTAGACTTATTTGACAAATTCAATCAATGAAAAGCATTTATTTTATATCTATAGGTGCTATGAGCAAATGATACTTGTGGGATAATCATCCTGGAGGAAGAAAAAGTGTTTTCATATTCCTCTTTCCCTACAACTTATTTATAGGGAAATATTGTTGTGTGGTTGGAGATAGAGTCAGAATCATACAGATTTTGACATAAAGGATTAGAAGAAAGAATTCAGCTTCCTCCATTGAATTTGCTTCTCAGAAGCTAGCTCTGGGGAAGTAGTTTCTTCACAAATGATGATTATGATCCCAGGTTGCTGCAACCATCATAAATATGCTGGCTGTCAAGTGCTCAAATTTTGACCCACATGACTATTGCGATATGATAGTCATGGATACAAAGACCAGTTTTAAGTCAACTTTTTTCAGTACCACTGTAACTTCAAACAGAAAAAGACATGGATGTTTTAACCTAAGAGCTGTAGTACAAATTCTGGGGATGGGGACAGAAATGTTGTTACTTATTTTCATGCAATAACCAGGCAACTTAGGTAAATGTAACAACTGAATGAATAGAAAGTAAACAATCAAGACAGAAAAAAATATAAATGGAGAATTAAGAGATAAAATGTAAATAACTCAAGTGATTTTGTTTAATACTGAGGTTCAGATTTTTATTTGCTTTCTTTTCAAAATAAATCTAAAAACTTCAACAAAACAAATCTAAAAACTGGGGTACTATTTTTTAAAATGATTTAGAAACCATAAATGCATTTTGCTGTTGTATAAGCAAATATGAACATGTAAAAAATAGAGTTCATGCATTGACATTTCTGCAAATATGATTCTTGTATCTGAAAATGTGTTTCAGGTCTGTGCATAGATTATTCAGAGAATAAACTTTACTGGATCAGTTCAGGCAATGGAACTATAAACAGATGCAACTTGGATGGTGACAATTTTGAAGTAATAGATTCAATGAAAGAAGAGCTAACCAAAGCTACAGCCTTAACTATAATGGGTAAGTGAACATATAAGTTAACATGATTCACTTCCAATAATTAACTTTCCTGATGCATATTAATTATCAAAAACTTGTCAGAATTTTCATTAAAGTATGTTGTGCCATATTTTCGTAATACAAATTTTGAAGCCAGCATTTCTTTTTAGATATTTTATGTTTAAAAATACTTTTATTTGTTTATTCATAAGGCTCCACAATGTTCTACTCAGTCAGGTAGGGTAAGAAGTTTGAAGATTGTCTGATTTGAGGATTGCATGATTCAGTTAGGGATGTTCTTTTTCTATTGTACAATGGAAATATGTGTATCAACACATATGCACATAGACAGTACTTCTACAATATCTATTGCTGTCTTTATTATTGCTCTGTAGCTTTAAAAAAATCTTTAACTATGCAAATAAGACTGATATTCATTTTTAGATAATTAACAGATCTAGAGTTATGGCTCATCTATTATTCATAGTTAAATATTAATAGTATAATCACGTGTTATTTTATGGAAAATTGATATGAAAAACCAAAAGGAAAAGGTAAAAAAGCATAATTAAAAAAGAAGAATATAATAGCATAGCATAATTTTTAAAATGATTTCAAAGTAGTATCTCTGTAGTAATTATAGTTAATAGTACTGGAAGGATAGAAGATATTCTTGCTGAAGATGGAAAAAGACTAGGAAATCCTTTAGCAATGATTAAATAGTTGGTTATCTTATATCTAACTATATGCATTTAGTTTTGGCATTAGAGATAATTTTTAAAAATATCTTAAATGAATACCTTTAATGCAGGTAGTCTTTGACTTATGACCATAATAGGGACCAGAATTTCTGTTATTAAGCAAGGAAGTTAAGTGAATCATACCCAATGTTTTGACCTTTTTTGCCATGGTTGTTAAGTGAATCACTGCAGTTGTAAAGTGAATCACATGATCATTAATTCAGCTTCCTCTATTGAATTTGCTTCTCAGAAGCTGGCTGGGGAGATAGTTTCTTCACAAATGATGATTATTACCCCAGGTTGCTGAAACCATCATAAAACATGCTGACTGTCAAGTGCTCAAATTTTGACCCACATCTCTCAAGCAAAGAAATACACACACATACACACACACACACACACACACACACACACACACACACACACACACTAGAAGTAGTTCAGTGTAAGTGTAATTGATTCAGACTGCAGGGAAAATTCTAACTTTATATGCATGCTGAATTGACTTGCTAATGTCATTGAAAGGTATCTGGTAGTCATAGTGGATGGCTTGATTAAAGTTTTAGCCACTGTGAAGCTACTTTAGGTGCTGGTGATCATTAGGATAAGTTTAAAAAAATAAAGCTGTCAGTATCCTGATATATTTATAACAAATCTTTGATATGAGCATACTGGAATAAAATCATTGTTTACCAGAAATAATACAGCAGAACTGCAAAATATATAGAAAAAGAAACTCATGATGGACATAGAACAATTCCTTTATGGGTAAAATATATGATTTTTAAAAATGCTACAAAACAGATCTTTAAATAGGCATGTAAATGTGTTGTACCTAATATAGAACAACTAGGTTGCATTTTTATACAAATATATGGATTTGGGAGCTCTTTATATATAACCTTTAGATTCAGAGGCTCTATAATGCTAAAAATCAACTAATAGGAAGCAACAGTGATACATTTTTAGTGTCCTTGTGACATCTGATTGGCTGGATGTGAATTAGGATGCTAGAACAAAAGGACTTTTGGTCTGATACAGAATTAATCTAATAGTGTATAATACGCTTATGTTAATATAAGCCATAGTTCATTTAAATACAGTATCTTGAGTTGTATTAATCTTCATTGTATGCAATCACATATTTATTCAAAGCCTTTACTGTTAACATAAATGCAAACAAACTATAGCATATTATTTTATCTCTTACTTTATCTCATACCAACTTGATAAATGATTAAGGATTGTAATTAAATACGCTTACAAACCTGGGAATAATTGTATCAATTGTAACTCTCAAATCTTCCAAGGATTGTGGTAGAATGGAAACGGAAGTTCTGCATGTAGCATTGGTATACCATTGTATGTCATGGGAGATTATGCTATTGGTGATTCATCTTGCCATTTTTGCTCTGATGTTTATGCATAGTAAGGTATTAGGAGCAGTGTAGCATTTTTGGCCTGATGTTTATGCATAGTAAGGTATTAGAAGCAGTGTAGTCTAATGCTCCTCTGAATTTACTATTATTCCCTTCACAATGTTGATCAAGATAAGCTGTAATAGACTATAAATTCAATAAATTTATATTCAAAAAAACATCACTGGAACAATACTGAGATTTCTGGTTGAAAATCTACCTGCTAATGCCTTGCCTTTTGCAATCTTAGAGTTGCTATTGAAATAATGCTATGTGATACACATGGATTGCTATTCTCTTTTGCAAAATTTTCTTTAACTGACATTGTTATCTGTTCCTTCTCTGGAAAACAATTATGTTTTCAAAGACATAATACATCATGTTACTATATTTTTGCAGAGATATATGGTATGTTATATGTGAAGTAGTCTTATAGTCTAGAAACTATGATAACAAAGCAAAACTCTTACCTAAAGCATTAACTGTCACTTGGTGTTAAGGTCTTATTCCACCAGCTTTATGAAGTGTTTGGTAGTTGTCAGTTTCCAGATCCAATTTAAGGTGCTGATATTACCCTATAAATGAGCTACTTTGAAATAGTAGTTAAAGGGACCAGGCTAAAAACTGGGAGAACATGAGTTCTAATTCTACCTGTGGCATGAAACTGTCTGGGTTACTTTGGGACAATCTCTCTGTTTCAGCCATAGGAAGAAGGAAATGGCGAAGCACTTTTGAAAAACTGGCTAAGAAAACTGTAAAGGTTACTTCAGGCAGTCAGCCATTACTTCAATACTAAAATGAATGCAAAAACAAATCAAAATAAAACAAAAAACAAAATTTCACCCTATAAGGCATTTAATGGCTTGGATCACAGTTCAGAACATATCACTCTGTACCTTCTATATGGGACTCAATGACTCAGCGGTTAAAGACATTGAGCTTGTCAGTTGGAAAGCTGACAGCCTGAGTTTGAGACCCAAGCACTCAGGGGTGGGTTTCTACTGGTTCTGTCTACCTCTGTAGAACCGGTAGCTCTGAAGAGCAGCAGACATAGAACCGGTTCTATGTCTGCTGATGTTTTTGCCCACCTGCCTGCCCGGACTCTTACCTGACCTTTATTTCCTGCTTTTTCAACTTCAGCTGCCGTGCGAGGCACAGCTGCAGGTAAAAAAGCAGGAAAAAAGTGCTTTTTCAAAGGTTGCTTCTCTGCACGCAGCATGCTGATGACGATTTACAGGTGCACATGCAGCATACAGGGAAGCACATCGTAAATCACTGAACCTCGTAAATCACTGAACCGGTAGTTAACTCTGTAGGATCCCACCCCTGCAAGCACTGTATGACAGGGTGAGCTCCCATTACTTGCCCCAGATCCTGTCCACCTAGAAGTTCAAAAGCATGCAAATACAAGTAGATAAATAGGTACCATTTCAGAAAGAAGGTAACAATGTTCCATGCACCTCCATGTATAGTAATGCTGGCCACATCATTCAGACAATGCTTATCTTCCTCAGCTAAGAAACAGAGACGAGCACTGCACCCTAGAGTCAGACACGACTGGACATGGAAAACCTTTAGCTTTTGTTCCATATGCCTTCCCATAAAGACTTAAGAGTAACCAGCTATCAGAGAGTAGGCCCCTACTACCAATCATAAAGTGACATTCCTAGCATAGGTTTCATTGTTTTAAAGTAAAATGCTTTATTCTCTTTTAATCAATGTGTATGTATTAACTTTATTTATGGTCAAGCAGCAGACTCCATATAAACATTATAGGTAATTAAGATGGTAATTAGGAGGAAGACATTGGAAAATATATTTCACAAACTTTTCCCCAAAAAATTAATGTGACAATTTTTTTTACTTTAATCTCTATTTTTACTCTTTATTTTAATAATATATATTTTAATCACTGCCTTTTATAGTACAGTTTAGTTATTAGAATTTTACTGTGAGATTTTAATTGCTTGTTATCTTGTAAACCTGGTTTTGATACACAGAATTCAGAGTTTAAAAGTTGGAATAAATAAAGGAATAGAATTTCACATAGGATCTATTAGTTTAAATTAACAAAGCAGAAGATTTGTTTAGCACTAGAGTAACCATAATCCTTTTAACCATAAAATGAAATTGAAAATCCATGTCCTAACTTTTCCAGAAGTTTCTGCATAGATTTGAGTGATAGTATACAATTTTTTATCTGCTACTCAGAATATTACTGTGTTTCTTTAATAAGGCTAAATAACATATCTCAATATTGTTCACCAAAATTTTACAGAATTCTAGGATTTGTCTACTCCAAAATTTGAATAATATTGGTATAGTTGTCAATTTAACCACCTTCTAACTTGTACTTGAAACAGTTTTCAGTCAGTAAATTTGAAAATTGTACACATTGTTGAAGTAAACTGTTTCACAGTTAACTCTGCAAATACTATTTCTGTAAGTAGAAATTTGATGGTTATAAAAGCAGAAACGTTTGTGTGAGAGAGACTTAAAACAGTACTATATATCCTAATTGATATGTTCGTATTATGAATGTAAGAAGAGACAGATATACTATTTTGAGTGGCTGTGCTATAATGGAACATCACAGGGATTGGCTTTTTCTTCTAAAATAGAACCAGGGCCTTGAATGGAATAAGGAATTATTTGGCGAGAGAAAAATGGTTATGAAAATTTATTGACTTTAAACAGTCTTTATGAATTAGTTTTCCATATTTAGAACTTATGGTTATAATCATATACAAGAGTCTGTTTGGCTCAATGGTTAACATTCTGGACTAGGAATTAAATTTGAACACTAGACGTGCCAGCTGGCTGATTTTGACCCAATCATGCTTTCTTAGTCCTAGAAAGAAGA